TGGTCATTTTCTTTGAAGCGTACACACTGTACGATGAATCTGTCAGACAATTCATAACATAATTTTGGCACAAAAATTCAAAATGTTTCCAAGCATCAACAACATTGATAACTTGAACATCGTTCTCATCTTTTTTGAGTGTAAGAGCATCCTCAGTCAAGAATCTCGCAAGATTCAAGGTGGTCAAATAGAAAAAACATCTTTTGTTGCCACCTCTTGAAATGCATTCCATCGAATTTTTCTGGTTTTTCTGCATGGTTCATAGGAATAGAGACTGATGCCATATGAGTTGGTGTGGGAGCTACAACTTGGGTTGGCACATCACCGGGGTTTGATTCAGATGCCATTTTCTAAAAAATCCAAACTAAAAAATTATTATGTGAATTTTTTAACAGTAGTCAATAAATAATTCCCAAGAAACACTAGAGGGGTCACAAATGGTCCCTCTTAAAATCCAGTCTCCTTAGATAGATTTTCTCTAAACCGGACTGTTCAAATTTCACCACCACACTTTTATTGCATAAGGACAACAACCTTTGGGAATATCAAAATCCAATGTTTTCAACAAATTAAAATACGGTTACTAATAAATTCAAATCTGTTTTAAGATTGTTATAAGATAATCTTTATTATATTAGTAACTGCAAATAATAAACATATTGAATATAAAAACAATATAACTAAATGTCAATAAAATAACAATACAATGAAATTAACAATACCAACAATGTGATCACGTGTAAGAGATCTTTCATAATGATAGGAAGAGATTCAATAAAGAATACAGTCTCAGGATGAATGTCGAGGCCTATGTAACACACAGTTTCCTTAAAACATATTCGCCTCCTTCACTCAGGTGCACAAGGATTTGACCAACATCTGTTTCCCAAGATACGACAAATGAATAACAAGAGAAGCACCGCTCTTCTATTCTAGCGAACTGAATTAAGCCTTAACTCAAAAAATGGAAAACCTTAAAAAACTAGAGAGAAAGTGAGAGATTGAAATTTTGGTGTGAGAAATGAGAGGAAGAACACATTTTTATACTACTCAAGATGGGACAAGACATTGAATTCCACCATTATTTTCCATCTTTTCACTTTCCAAATTTTAAAACCTCCTCCATTTAGGGGTGAGCATGGGTAGAAGGTAGAACCGGAATCGACGAGTAGAACCGGAATCGGAACCTACCCGAAACCAACACTATGCATGTAGGTTCTGGTTCCAATTTTTTGGAACTGTTACTGTGCGGGTCCGATTACATGCAAGAACCGGAAGCAGAATTTGCAACGGGTACCCTGAATGGAACCAAGCCTGGGTCCTCGAAAAAGAACTTGTATTGGAACCTGTGTTCGAAGTTGTATTGGAACTTGGATTAAAACGAAATATGAGTAAAGAATTGGGGGTCTTTGTAATTTTACATAGAAAAAAATTAAAAATGCCAAATTAGATTGAAATGTTATATAAAAAATTATAGTGTAACAATAGCAATAACCTAATCAAATATATATACAATTAATTATAAAAATATAGTTATATACTTCACCATATAAAAAACTTTAATATATTATAATAACCTAATCAAATTAATATATTAAAATTTTTACATATAAAAAACTTTAATATATTATAATATTAAAGTTTTTTATTAATTAAGTGTATAAATTATAATTGGAATTAGGATCCAATTAAAAGTGTTTTAATGTTATTAAAAGAATTATTTTTGAATAAAATAGTACATTTGATTGAATAATACTTAATTATTTACTTCAATTATCAAGTATCTATAGTAAATTAGTAATTAATTAATTATATGTGATAAATTGATAAACATTAGTACATTACTGGCTCCATTAATCCACCAACCTTTCATCTTTCAACTTCTCAACTTACACCACCACATCTCATTTCATTCAACTTAATAATAAATTCCAACCATTGAATACCCTACAAGCCAAATGTTCCAAGGTAAGTTACAAATATGGTAGGTGACCCCAATGTGATTTGAATCCAACAAGTCAATAAAGGAAGCATTTTGGACCGCCAGGCCAACCCTTTGGGGTTATAATTGTTACTATTTCCTCTCCTTCCTACCTACAAATAATTTAATTTAGAACCTGTTTGATACGGCTTCTCAGGTTCTTCTAATAGAGTTTATATGAATATAATTTTGTGAAAATCTTGACAATTATTTGGATAAGAAAATGTAGAAGAACTTTCTAATATTAATTTACTAAGAAGGGTTTTACTATACAAGAATAGATCAAGTTAAATTTATAAAATTAAATAGAGATATTTTTGAAATTTCAAAACTCTCTTAAACTCAAAAAAAGGGCATGGAAAAAACTCAAAATTTGAGCTTCTCTAATAAGCCGTAAAACAGATTATTTAAAATGAATACATATAATTCATAAAAGAACGCACCCCAAATGATCGTTAGAGATTTTACGATCATTACTCTCTTAATATCTAATAATCTAGATTATAGAAGTCAATCAATGGTGAAGTATCAAACAGACCAGTAATTATCAACCAACACATTGATGTGAGTAGACAGTCTGAAATTTATTGTTTGTGAGTTGGATGTTAATGAACTACTTTTATTTATAACATTTATGTCATGAACGCATAATCACAAATAAAGGAGAGGACGGAAAGAGGAAAACGTTGTTTTCATTGCCGTGCAAATTATTGATGCATGAATTGATGGTTGCCAAATTTCCATGAATCTATAATACAAGTCTTCAGCTAAATGTCTATTTCTACATAATTGGAGGAATATGTCGGAAAGAGAAATCCGAGCTGGAAAATCTTAATTTACAGAGATTTATATATCAGAAAATATCACTACTTACCCTATGATGTTTTTGAAATTTGATAATCAAGCACCAACCAATTTTGATTAATAATACGTATAAAAAAAAGTCCTTGATAAAATACTATATACACAACCAACTAATTATTGATTCATTGTACAACTTTTTATGGAGATTTTTTATTTTTCCATGTATAAGAGATTGACGTGCATGTAATTAGGTCGATCTTCAAAATAATAGGTTTGATTAAATGTAATCGTCAACACTCACCATGCATTGTAGTGTTGAAATAGCCTCATGTAAAATTCCTATTAAAGACATCTGTTTTCAAAAACTCTTACCTCTTTTTTCTAACTCTTCATTCTTCAGTCTTCACTCTTCTCCGTGAAATACTTTTATTTTTTGTTTTTCATAGATTCGTTTTAGAAACATTTTCTATTGGTCAATACTATATTTACAACTTAATCTCACAAACTTTCTCTTAAAACTCTGATATGGTAACTCGCAATTGATTCCTAATGAAATTTTTTACTTGATCAATTGCGAGTTACCGTTGTAAGAAACAATTAATTTGATAGTTTTCTTTCAAGTTCTTTGACTTGGGCTTATGTGTGCTTACTGCTACTTCCTTTTACTAAGAACTAAATTTGGGCCAACTTTATTTCCTCTTCTTTTGACCTGATTTTGGTATTTTTTATTAGAGGGGAAAAGTAAATGTATGATATTGTTAAATGCTACATGTTTCATTGTTTCATTATAATTACACACTTGTAATTACCGATGATAACAAATGGTAGAGTTAAATTTGAAGCGGTTAAACTAAAATTTTAATAAATAAATAAATCATCAAAATATAGATTTTAACGGGTGAAAAGATATTATTATATATGAATTTGAATTTTTTTTGTAAAACCTGGACGGGTAGCTTCACCTATATGATAATAATGAAAAATAAGATGAACTTATAATAATATACAACATTGACATAACATGTTCAAGCATCGAGTAATTTTACATATCCCTAGATTGAATAAAGTAGAATAAATACGCATAGTTAATTTGAGAATGGATGGCCTTGCTAAAAATTACACTAACATAGAAATATTATTACAAAACATCTTCAAACCAAGCAGAAGAAGCATCTTCTGTCATGAAATTTTATGGCAGACAGGCCTTAAGAGGATAGAAAATCTATAATTGTATGGTTCATCTCACATAAATGAAACTCTAGAAGATTATGTAAAATCTAAGAACTCCCACATGGCTTCAGAGATATGGTCTTAGAATTGAGTGGACAAAGATCCTCCATTGATGAAAGGTCTCTTGTGCACTATGAATTGATAGAGTACGGATCATGTGCAGATGTGGTGGAAGACCCAAGCCACATTTTATCAGAAGAAATGTTTGGGTGGTCGAGCTTCCTCTTGAATTCTGGTCGAGTTGTTGTAATGCCAGATGCATGTATGCTCTAACATATTAGACTTGACTTAAAAACGTCCCTATCTTGCATTCATTCCTTATTTAACAATGTAATTTGAAAAACACAGAGGTGGACCACTTCAATTTTCTAACTGTGATAGCAGCTCTAATTAGAAAATTAATTGCTTACATAGTACCGACAGGTGAATGGAGTCTGATGGAAACAGATGTTGATCTGAAGGTGACCGGACAGGTGAATGGAGTCTGATGGAAACAGATGTTGATCTGAAGGTGACCCGACAGGTGAATGGAGTCTGACGAAACAGATGTTGATCTGAAGGTGACGACTCTAATGTTCATCGTATGGTGAATGTAACTCCATACATATGTGTATGGTCAAGATCTTTTTAATTGCTAAGACATTGGTGCTTGAAAAGTCTTCAATTCCAATTTTGTTGTTCTGTGGAGAAATTGTTCACATAAATTTTCTGCAACTTGTCACTTAATCATGTGGATAATAAATACACAATGGTCTTTGTCTCATCTTCCCAGACTCTCCATCTCTTCATCTGTAATATTAACAAACATTCAGAGATATGAGAAAAACCAAAAAAAGAACAAAAAAAGACACAAATTACAGAGAAGAGAGAGAAAGAGAAAGCAAATTTTACCTTGGTTCTGCCCAAAGCCAAGATGGTGATGCAGTAGATAATATGAAAAATAGCCAACATAAAGATGAAAATGTGTATTTGAGTATGTATTAGCAACCTCGTCTGAGCAAAAAGATACTTCTAAATTCTAATAGATGTCTGGATTCTGTATTTGAGCTGCAAGAACAAATTATACCAGCAATCATATTACATAGACAATACTACATACAAGGGAAAAAAAAAACTAAGCGTAAATTCACATGAAACTCAAATCTATAAGTACCTAAATTGAGCCATCACTTCCTCACAGCTTATCAAACACTAAAAGCCGTTGCTTAAGATTCGAGCTATCTTCTGTCTATAAACAATGGCTTTAACACTAGAAAAAAAAATTTTCATTGCTATGTTAATGATTTTCGGGACATGGGCATCTCAAGTGATGTCCCGCACATTGCATGAAGCTTCCATTGCTGAGAAATATGAGCAATGGATGGCTCAATATGGACGCACTTATGAGGATAATGCAGAGAAAGAAAGGCGTTTTATGATATTCAAGGACAATCTTGAATTCATAGAAAAGTTCAACAATGCAGGGAATCAGAGTCACAAGCTAGGCATCAATAAGTTTGCAGACTTGACCATGGAAGAATTCAAAGCTACACATACCGGATACAAGTCTACCCAACCAAAGTCATCCAAAACGGTATCACCCTTCAGGTACAACGATACAGAGGACGTTCCATCTAGCTTGAACTGGATAGACGAAGGAGCTGTTACTGACGTAAAGGACCAAGGGCAATGTGGTAAGGGAATCACCATATTATCGCTTGTATCATCATATTATTAAGTTATAACTAGTTGTCTGACTTGTTATTATTTCGGATTTAGGTTGCTGCTGGGCATTTTCGGCAGTGGCAGCTGTAGAAGGTATTACTTTTATCAAAACTAAAAACTCAGTCTCACTGTCCGAGCAACAACTAGTGGATTGTGACAGAAATGGCAATGACGGTTGCAGTGGTGGTGATATGAAGAATGCCTTCAAATACATTATAGAAAACAAAGGTCTTGCAAGTGACACAGATTACCCATATCAGGGAATGGATGGAATCTGTGAAAAAGAGAAGGAAGAGGACCCTGAAGCCAAAATTACAAGCTATGGAGTTGTACCTGCAAATGATGAAAGTTCCTTATTGAAGGCTGTGGCCCAACAGCCAGTTTCAGTTTCAGTTGATTCAAGTCAATTTCAATTCTACAAAAGTGGGGTTTTCAAAGCGCAATGTGGAACCAATCTGGACCACGGTGTTACTGTAGTCGGATATGGGACGAGCGAAGAAGGTGACAAGTACTGGTTGGTCAAGAACTCCTGGGGCCAGGATTGGGGTGAGAGCGGCTACATCAGGATGCTCAGAGATTTTGATGCTCCTGAAGGCATCTGTGCCATTGCCATGGACGCTTCTTATCCAGTTCTTTGATTAACATCTAAATGCTTCTGCTTAAATTTCTGCATTCATATTTCCATATTTAAGTGAGTGTTTTATTGTATGTGAAATTCCAGAGCTATGGCTTGTAGCCGAGGGGATATCATTAGGTATGAAAATAAGTTTTTCCTTTTATTTACTATTAAACAGATTATAATTATTGAGCCAATTTCTGAGAGTAGATAATTTGCATTACTTAACCTTTACTATGTGTTGAAAAATTTAGATGAGAATTAATGATATGACATGGTATCATTCTCATGCCATCTGGTTGTCAAACTTAAAATCAATACTTAATACCAAGAAAACTACACCCTTTCTGACTCTAAAAGTTTATCTCTTTATTTCAACTACCAAAATCGCATCTCTTCCCTTCATTTTTGGTCTCATTCAGCCCTCACATATATTTCTCTCTTTCTTCTTCAATTTTGTCTGGCTGATTAATACAAATATTGTAAACACTAAAATTTACAATTGAATTGAAGAGAGAATCTTGTGGGCCAAACCACTAACAACCTTGGTGGTCTTGCGAGAGATATTTTTGCGGCTAGGGGGAGCTTTAGTGATGCAAGAAGTTGAAGTAGGTAGTGGGTTTGATAATACGGGAGTTGGAACTTAGGAGTGATTTTTGAATGAATAATGAGAGAGTCGACCCCTGTTTATATAGTGAACCCAAGGGGTTTAAATCTTAGTAGAACTCTGAGCCCTATTTGGTAGGACTACAAAAAAAAGGGCTTTTAACTACAATTTTGTTAACGACGATTTTAAAATTCGTCACCAAATGTAACTATTAGCGACAAAATATGAAATTGGTTGTCAATAATTTTGCAAATTTTCTAATCCTTGCACGAGATGGTGGGAAGCAAATTGGTGACGGACTCAATGACGACATAATTTGTCGTACAATGTTTTTGTCGATGAAAATACAAAAGATCATATTTTATTAAGCTTAACTATCTTAAATCATTGTAATATTTGTTGAAGTATGAATCTTTTGGTAGAAGTTGAAGATGCCTGGCATAAAAAAAAAGTAATGTTGCGGCGAGAGGATGGCAAGCGAGAAGTTGAAGACCGACCGCTGCAGCAATAAAAATGGTTGCTGCAGCGATTGGAGTTTGCCGCAGTGTGCGTGGTTGGCTGTGTTGTGCAAACTGTTTTCAGATTTGTTCAGACAGCAGCTGTTTTTCAATTAAGTTCAGATTAGAGGTGATGTGTAGACCTTATTAACAAATGTGGTTGTTAATAAAAGCTCTGCATGGTATGTACTTTGGTATGGACATGGCAGAAGCATGAGATAGACACAATGCAAGTAAGACACTACATAATTACTATAGCAGCATGCTTTAGCTTTCATGCCTTGTATGCACTATTGGAGCCGAAGAATGACGCCAGATATTGTACCGCAGTTTGTCATTGTAGGCTCGTCGTAACTCTTAACTTTCCGATGCCACCCACCGGCCCCATTCTACATTAATAGAACACGTCGTAGTTGGAGTCAATTTCAGGGTGGATGTAATCGGCTATCCAATGAAATATTATGGCCTATGTAATCTGCATTGACCAAATCCAACACACGTTGCACCGCTCCAAAGCTTCAAACATTGCTTATTGTTCCGACACAGAGATCGCTGGGATAGTGCACCAACACTGCCATAGCATTGTTTTCTGCCATTCTTAAATCATGAAAATGACAGAGAGGTCATTAGAGTAGTGCAACGACGCTGCAATTCTAAAATATTGAAAGCGACACAGAGGTCGCCGGAATATTGCAAGGTTTGCACCGTTTTGTGGGAATACATAGACAATACTACATGCAAGGGGAAAAAAAACTAAGCGTAAATTCACATGAAACTCAAATCTACCAAAGAAGACTTCTCCTTATCACAATGTTCAAATCACATTACTTGTTGCAAGTGAATTTGTTGCCACCTTCACAAGAACCTTTTCACTTCTTGGGAGCAAGATGAAACCTTCGTCAATGAAACTTTCTGATTCAGGCCAGATTCCAATCTCTAAAACTCCAACTATAACATGTCTTTCAACATTGGGATTTCTTATAACAGATTCACCAAAACCCACAAAGTCCCTTCATGCTTGCAACTTCTAACTATGAAAAAAAAAAAGCATATCTGAGACCATAGTAAACAAAAGAAAGCAAAAGAAGTTCCTAATGTGAATACAAAGAGAGGCAAGAATAGATCATATCACCATATGGTATATATGCAATTGAAAAATGAGAGTTAACGGGATATTGATTCGAACTAACATAGAGCTAATAATGAAACTAGATAGGAACCTATTCTAATAAGATAAACATTGCAGTTGAACATATATAGATTTAAACATTGAAGACCAAAGACTAAAGACTGATACATACTTTGATCATGAGCTCAATGGCAGGTTCAAGGACAATGCTTCTAATCATGGTTTAGACCACCACACAAACAATGCGTTGAGACAAAGAGCAGATAAAACTATTGGAAAGTCGAACAAAACATGCATATGCTAACTTAAGCTTATAAATATGTTTTCTAGGTGGTGAATGCTATGAACCTCCAATACTTATGGCTGGTACTACCACCAAGTGCAAATAGCTAATAGTAACTAAGTTGACGTTGCTGTGCAGCACAAAGAGTCAGGCTAGTAATTAACCACTACAACCAATTTACAAAACTGACCTATCAATGCCTCCAGCTTCAAGATCAAACCAATTCGCAAGCCAAAAGAAGCTTCAGATAATTTCTAGAAACAATGTCGCATACTATCATGAACAACTTATTGTTAAAAAAATCATATGATAAAAAGCTTCATATAATTTCTACAAACACATGGTCGACACTACATTGTAATATTTTCAACGAGTGGTCGGATTGTTGAAGACAGAAGATGTTCTTTAACCGATGAGATGATTGAAGTGATAACGTGTTTACGGAATTGGACTCATGCAGAAATAAGACTACAACAACACCCTGAAGATCCCGAACTACTCAAACTCTTTAGGAATACAAATTTGAATAATGTAACTAGTGTTGACGATGAAATTGAAGATGAATAATTTAATAAAAAAATTATTTAATTATTTATTTGTGAAGTGTGAATGTGTGAATATTATATTTATGTTAAAAATTAAAATTAACTATTAATTTATTATTTTTTAAAATTAATTAAATTTTTAGAAACTTACTAATCAACCCCTAAAAAATACTAAAAACTCCCTATAAAATTTCGTTTTGCCCCCAAAATATAAAAAAAATTAAGGGGGGAAAATAACATTTTCCAAACCCCATGGGACCGGTTCTAGGCCCATGGGACCAGTCCCGACCAGACCCTAGGCTTGGTCCGGGTCCTGATTTTTCTCATGGACCTGGGACCGATCCCAGGCCCATGAGTGGGACCAGTCCCATTTGGGACCGGTCTCAGGCCCATGAGAGACTGGTCCCATTTGAGACCAATCCCAAGAGACCAGTCCCAAATGGGCCCTGGGCCCGCAAGGACCGGTCCCTTGCCCAGGTCTAGATATTATAGAGTTGATATTTAAATCAACTTCTGGAACCGGGGTTCTGTTTGATCTCAATAGAGTTTACACGGTTGGGTTTATGGTTTGCCATGACAAGAATGCAAACCATCGTTCTCTTTTATTTCCCCCTTCCTCTTTGATCTTCTTAACTACATCATTATCTTTTATTATCTTCACTGCATGAGCACCCCAAATCTCCAAACCTAGGTGCTGCTTTTGGGTTGATCAAGATGCCGTACTTTGCTTTATTTGGGTGATTATTTATTGTATTTAGGATTTTAATTTCTGGTTATAATTCTTTTATCAGGGTACAATCGGTATTTAAGATCTGATTGACGGACCCCAAAAGGCCAAAACTCAACAAAGCAACCTTCTGCCGCCAAACTGCTTCAACGCCACTGCCTCAAATCGGAGTCACTTTTCACGCAGCTGTGCCACCGTTCACGCCACGTCTTTTTTCCGTCGCGCGGTCACGAATCCTCCATCTGAATCACGGCGGGTCGCTGCCTTGCTCGCGCTCGGAAATTTCACAAAAGGTTGTTATTATGAAAAATTAGTAGTTTATAAGATTGCAATTTAAATTTCTTAGTTTTCTTCAGTTTAGCTTTAGACTTTTATTGAAATATGAGTCATAATATTAAGTTAATGTTCTAGTTCAAACCTATGAAATGCAAAGCATAACTAGGTTTTTGTTTTAGGCTGTTTGAAGGTTCTGTGGAGTCAATGTTGGGTTTCGAGGAAGAGATGATGAGTGTTGATCATGAGATTTTATCCTCCTCATCATCAAACAGTTACAAATTGGTGCCATGGTTGAGTTGGGAGGAGTGGGATTTCGTCAGAGAATCCCTCTTCTCTTCTTCTGCAGACAAGGTTGCCTCTGCTCTTAATAGAGTAAGTGAAAGCATACTTGTTGAAAAAATTTCTTCGTTTGTTTCTAGTGAAAATGAATGATTTTGATGGTTTATGGATTGTAGATATCAACATGGAAAAGCAGAGGGTGCCTGCCTGTTGTTATTGATGTCACAGCTTCAATCATTGAGATTCAACAGAAAGATCCTTATTACAAGTAATCCCTTTAATCCAAGATCATAATGTTATTGTTCAACTGAAATAAAACTTATATAGATCAAATTGTTTGGTAGATTTTATTAATTATTATTCCATTGTTAATATAAAGGCAATGTTTTTTGAGTTTGTTTTTGGTTTCGTCAAAAGCAGTAGTCCTTCTTTTCTATATCAATTTTGAAACATCTCAAACTTTCCAAGAAAGATAGATATACATTCAAAAGGAAATTTCGCACAACAAGAAAAAAGAAACTATAGTGGAAATCTTAATAGCTCTATTATGAAATTTTATTTTATGATAAGAAACTATAAAATTTGTATTTAATTAGTAAAAATGTGAGGAGAATACGATTGTGACCAGCAAGGTAATTGCCTCCTCTTGTCTCTCTTAGGCTCTACTATGAGTTGATGCTTCGTTAAATTATATATATGTTTGTTTGATTGTAGAGATAAAGAGGAACAGCCCACTGATGTTTTAGAGTCAGAGCAATTGCTTGCCATGCTGTATTGCATGGCAATCTTGAGGTTAGATTACTTCATTTTATTTGTTTCTTCCTTCATTTTATTTGTTCCTTTTAATACATTATCAACATAGTCCCTTTTTGTTGTGTTTTTGTTGCTCTATGGTGGTACATATTTCTCTCACTATTTTTGGTCCTTCCAATATCATGAATTAGATAGTTTGAGTTTTTACTATTGCAGCATTCATAACTGATAAATGTTAGCAATTTTTTTTGTGGACAAATTAATTGAGTGATTATTAGTCTAAAAGCTTAAATTTATAGCAAAGGGATCTAAAGTTAATATTTATTCTCTGACAAGTCCTTTCATGTGTATGCTCACATGTAATTATGAGTTCACACATGGATCCTTATATACATCAACATATACATTGATCTGGACATAGGCGACACTGATGTTGATTGAAGTACCTGAAATCTCTCTTGATCAATTCGCTACAGTACCACATTGATTAACCTATACTCCTAAACTTAAACTTATAGGGAATGGGTCAATATAGAGGTAGCATGACAATTTTAGGGATGTTATGGCTGGAAAGAAATTGGATAATTTTTATACGTCAGTGGGGAGTAGGTTTTTACTTTGTGGGATAAGGTGAAGCTTTGGACTTTAACTTTTATTATGATGACTCTGATTGGCAATTCAAACTAGACTTTATTAGTGCTTAAGATTAGATTGATTTTATATTCCTTGGTCTGTGTTTTGAGTGTATTGTTGTTAGTGTCACATTAAAGAACAATAAGCTTACACACTTTTGTAATTGTTGAAGGCTTGTGAATTGTGTTGTTGAGAAGACACGAAGAAAATCAGAGTTTTCAATTGCTGAGGCTGCTGCTGCAATTGGTATCCCACGTAAACTGATTGACGTTCGTCATGGTAATTTGTTTCAACTTCTTACAAAATGATTCTCTTATTTGCTCATTAGTTGTCTCTTTCACAATTGATGTTCTAACACTTGGACTAAACCATAGAGTAGGTTACAATTTTACACCTTTTCTCATGCTTATGTGCTGAATGTGGGATTTAATGGTTTGAAATCTTATAAAGTGTCATTTATGGAGGCTTTGTGACAGGAGTCCGTCACAAAACTATGGTTGTCTTTTATGTGGTTGCAATGCAAATGTTATTATTTTTCCTGATATTTGATTGTTTCTCTTGAATTGTCTACTCATAATATTTGTATTTTTAATCTTTGCCTGGGAATATAGAGGGTTCTCATCGTGATCTCCCTGCACTACAAGTGGTTCGGGATTGCTCAGACAAGGTATGGTTTATTTTTAATATGTTGTCTAGTATTACAACTGTTTCTTGTGTCGTGGTTACTTTGCTGACATGTATTCACTTAAACTTCTTTGCTTAAGATTGCTTGATATCAGACAAAACTTGTTGTGTGAAATGTAGGCTTGCAACAGATATGGAATTTTGCATTTCCTTGTATTTTTCTTTCGTTTTCTGTTAAAAAAAAAACCTTTATTGAAGAAATAGGCTATACTTACTAATTTAATTTGGTTTCATTACAAACATGAAGGTATAATACATCTTTGTCTTCAAGAAAATGGTGCAAGTTGGATGTATGCCTTTGCTTGATTAGAGGATGTCTCTTGTATATCATTTATGCTTGGATAAAGACTTGGGCCTGATATTGTTTATTTTAAACCAAAAGATTGAAATTTTAAGTCGAAACATTATCTGGTTATGCTCTGTAAGTTGTTCTTAGTCACCTTTCTTCCAAATTGAAGTGAATTAAGGGATGCTGTTAGATTTAATTGTTCTCGAAATGTTGTTTAACATAAGCAGAACTGTTTTGTGAACAGAAAAGGAAAAACCGTTCTAGATTAAATTAATTAATGTTGTAGAAAATTATAATATTAATTTCATGCTAATTTTGTATGTACATGACATTCATTTTCAAATACATGGCTTAGTTAATCAGTCCTTTGTTCCTCTGTGTAACTTTAATACTATGGTGCTAATTAATAGATTGTTAAGTTAAACAGTCATATCTGATGTTTCAGGCGTTGGATTGGTTGAAAGCTTATTACTGGGAGCCCCAAAAGAAGCAGATTCCATTTCAAAGAGATTCAACTGCTGACATACGAAGAGATATTCAGTCTAAATTCCAGGAATTGGCTTTCTGCTTGAAATATAAGGAGAATACCCAAGTTGGTTCATCATTAGTAAAAGGAAAACGTACGTATGAACTTCCCTAATTCTTCACCAGTCAAAAGAGAACTTGCCTTTGAATTTTCTTTTATGTTTTAGTTAAGTTGTGATTTTCTTGCCTTGAATTAAACTCTTCTATGTAAATTTCATTTAACTTTTTTCCCATGGATTTTGCAACTAGTGCATTCTTTTTTCTGCTATTATAGCATGTGGCTAACATAGCATAGATTACATATCCACATGTGCTGTGCTTGTTATAAAGCCTGTCAGGAAAAATCTAATCATTTAAAATTTTGCCTTTGAGCTCTCTAGGCAGGAAAGGTACCAATAAATTCCTAGGAGAAATGTGATCTTTGATCTAAAATTTCACGTTAGTATATGTTTGTCTATACAACCCAAAATATCAATTATTGACTCAAATGTTTGTCCCACCAGAAGTCATTAAAGAAGTCACAATGCTGGAGCCAATACATTCATGTTAAAATACTGGATTGTCCTTTAAGAGAAATGACCCCGGGAACATTTTCTATGTTTATGTGTTAACAATGTAATAGATAGCCTTCATTGCTCACCATGGCCCTCTCTCCCAGGTCCAGTTAGTATTTGATTGTTGACAATAATTGGTACTCTCTCTCTCCCAATCATACTGAGGAGTTAAAGTACTTAATAAGTGTAGGGCATTCCTGTTAAACAGTAAATTAAGAAAATACCTACAACGACTAAAACTTAATAGATTTATTATTTTATACAAAAATGAATAAACTAACTACCTAGGACATTATTTCTTTTGCAAAAGTGATGCTTTTCTGATTTTGTTGGCCATAGGATTGTTTCTTTGCTTACTAAGATGATACTTTTTTTCTCTAACCAAGCCATTGATGTGGCATTGATCTTATTCTTAGGAAAGCTTTTATGCATCTTATGTTTTATATTGCAATATTTCTTTTATAAATTCTACTGAACATTATGCAATTGCATGTTTTTAGTCACTCTCTCCTCTAAATGTACATATGTATATGTTTGTTTCTTTTAAATTATAGTCTTTAAAATTTTTAATAGGTTGCAAATTTTGTGAAGGGCTTTACGGTCGTAATAAGTTTGTCTCAATTATGGCTGGCAAGCTCCATTCATCCAAATCTGGAGGTTAGCCCATTCATTGTGATTACTTTTATCTCTGATCGATGTCTATATATATATATATATATATATATATATATATATCAAAACAAGATGAAATCTGAACCCAGGGAAGAGTTTACTTGGGAGATAAAACTTTTGACAACAATTCTTAATTATGGGCTTTCCTTTACACATCTAGCAATTTTGACTATATAATGTTTGATTTGAATGTTTCTCTGAGTGGATTGTACTTTTTTTATTTATTTATAAGAACTATGCTATTTCTTTTGAATATTGTAGTTCTGAATGAAATCCAATATCTAGAATGTTCAAGTTTACAATGGTCATTCACATCAGTCTCCTAACATAATAATATGTATTCTGATTTGTGCACTTATAATTTCAGGTTCTAAGAAGAAAGTGGCCGGTTGCTTGAAAACTCTTGTACAGTTATACTCTTCATTCTCATCAGAAATTGTATCTGTGTTGCTGGAGTTCTTGCTGAACGCTTTAGATTTCTCAAATTTGGAGTTTCAAAACAATTCCCATGCTGTCCAAAATATACCCATGGCATTCAATGATTGGAAGCCTGTGTTAACTAGATTCTCGCATAAGGAGCCAGAATTACTTCTGACCCTTCTTCATACAGTTCTTGATATGATTGGAGACGCAGAAGCCAATAAATATAAGACTGGTAATCCCCAACAATCCTTGTGACCTTTCTTTTATTTATTTGCTTTCCAGAATTTTAGTCAATACCTTGTGAATTTATTTTTAGGGCAACGAAATCAGACATCATCAGAATATAAAACAGAGACTCGTCCAGTAGAACATCTTTCTTATCTGTTTGCTTGGCTAGTTGGACTTCTAAGGAGACTAAAGCCTCTTCAGAACACAGATCCTGCAGCTGAATTCAAAGTCTCTGCTGCAGGGAAAAATATACCAAATGCAGTTCTGGTGAAGCTCCTGCGTAAATGTCTTCTAGTGCTGCCTACAGGCAACAAGCTGCTTATGGATTCAGCCATGCAGTTTGCACAGCTGCTGGGAAATACCTCTTTATTAGAGAAACTCAACAAGCTCTCTTCGATATATTCGCCACATATAGATTTTAATGAAGAAAACTCTTCTTCCCTCTTAAGTTTCAAGAAGCTTGTTCTCCAGCATGACGACTTCATCCATCAAGCAGCTAAAAAGCTCGAGTTAGTTAAACGTCTCAGGATGAAGAGCAAAGTTTTGAACACAGCTGATGGTAAGGTGGAAACTTCGAATAGATGGGCTGTGGCAAAATCGTATAACTCATGTCCAATTGGTATGTTGCCTCGTGATCTTGGATCAGCTGGCTGTCTTCCTATTCTTGTCTGCTATGATAAGAAACAAAGCGAACCTGATCTATCAGAAAGGAAAGAGAGGTGGGAACTGAGCCTATATAGCAGCAAGAGGGAAGCTAGTTTTAATATTCAGATGTTAGATAACTCAAGGGTTAAGAAGATGAAAGCAACAGTAGAAGGTTGTGAAATGAACAACAACAAAAACGTTTCATCATTTGAAGGTGCCGAGGGCCATCTGATGATCGGGGGTGTGTGGAAGAAAGTTGGGGAAGAAGAGCTGCATTCTATCGAGTCTGGTGTAAGGATTCTGGTTTAGTTATATCTCAACTCCTACTTTTTTTTTTTTTTTTTTTTCTTTTTTTCAGTCATGGAATTTATTTATAGTGGTAACAAAAAATGTGTCACAGCTCCAATTTTGGTTTATATATATGTCATTCCAAGTGATTTATGGTTTCTATTCTTTGAATGGTATCTTGCATTCTTGCTGTTTTGTTTTCTCAAGAAAAATTATAGGTCTAGCTTTGTAGCAGCTGTGCAATGTTGCATTTGTTGTATTGCAAACATTACTTTGTAACATTCTAATTGAACTTTTAATGCAAATGGTAAGAATCGTGACATTAAATTTGCGACATGAAATAGAAAATTTGATCACTAGAATCTGATTAAACCTCAAGTTCCAAAGTAAATTAAACCACAAACTGTTCTGAATAGACTGGGATAATAAGAGAAGTCACTACAGTACTCTTATGTTCAAAAGCATTCTCTTGTTCCTATTCTAGGAAATACTCTTCAGCACAAATTTACTTAAAATGCTTCAGCTGATTTGTGCCCAAAACTCGAGCTGAATAGCTTGTACTTCCACCTGAACCTTTGAATCATAGTTAAATTTAAATGGGCTCACGGTATCATAAATTCATAATTTGAACTTCTGACTCATAGTTTAAATTTCAAAAACGTTAATTGAGTCATAATTGAATCATAATTCAAAAGAATGATTGAATTATAATCCAATGATCCGGATAGGGATAGGGATAACGTTACCTCAATGACATAACAATATCTTATTTGAATAATTTATAATTAACAGTAATTACTTATTATTAATCAAACAAATAATATGATATTCGTCTGTTTCTATCTATTCTTTTTATTTCTAATCAACTTGAAAAGAATTGAAAAGGAAAATTTTGCAAACTCACCATAAAGATAACACAACACCAAGCAAGGAGTAATATTAGACTTCCCAAAAGATATCTCAAATTTTCCATCCCAATTCATCACATCAACTTTTCAGTAAAACATCACTTGAGATGAAAAAATTGAGATATCATTTGAAAAGTATAGTATTACCTTTAAACAAACTTTGTCTATTGCTGGAACCCAAGCATGAATGAAAATAATTTGGTAGTGAAAAAAGCCCCACAGGGGCGACCTGAGAACACATCAAACACCCCAGATGACACAAGATAGAGAAGTATCCCTGAAGTTGAACGTCACATGTGTTCTCAGTTGGCCCCTGAAGGACTTCTCCACCGCTAGACAAACATGCTCTTGCAACTATGCCTCTTCAAATTGGCTCTGCAATTGCTCTATCCATGTATGTTCCTTTTCTAAATATATATAGCAGAACCAGAAATCGATTGGGTGAGTTTAAGTTGACTTGGTATGGCAAATGGCTTGATTGTACTACACAAGAGGCCAGCGGGGCATGGTACTCCAAAAATGTAGTAATGGTTTGAATAATGAGTGTTAGTACAACTTTGTACTATGAACCTAGCTCACACTTCCCATTGTACTATTTTATTTTGTGTATAAATTAGCCCAGTTGTATTGTAATTTATATGTACTACAGTACTAGTACTACTATTACTACGATTACTATCTTTCAAAGTACTTGTTTTAAGATGAAAATTAAAAACCCTTTTCCTCATTATTGGTAAAAAATTTGCGACAAATTAATTATTTCTTTAATTGTAAGTTTCAATCAAACTATTATAATGTTTGCTTCTGGTACAATTGAGTTTAATTTTACATGGAAAAGAGTCGCACTTTTTCAAATAAAATATTATATAAAACAAAAAAACTAAAAAGAAAATATCTCTCAATAATTTATCCATGAATTTCTGATCAGACCAGAGCAAAATAATGGCCATCTTTGGAATCCCTTTTGCTGCTCATAACTCTCTCTCAATACAACCCACAAAAAAGCCTACATTTCACTCTTTTCCAACAAGAAATTATCAAACATTAGCTTCAACACTTGCCCAATTTGACAATTCTTCAACAACAGCCAAAACCCATTTACCCAGTGCCAGGTATTCCGCTCAACATACTTCTTTTGTTCAGAACGTAACCCTTATGCTTCAATCTTTGGACTTCACAAACCCTGATGCTTGTACTGAAATTTATGCTTTCATTTTTCAAAAATGTAAACAACTCAATAATCTGGAACTGGGTTCTCAACTTCATGCCCATTTGATTGTTTGTGGAGTTGAATTGTGTGCATTTCTGGGTAGTCAATTACTGGAGTTGTATTGTAGACTTGGTTGTGTAAATGATGCTCGTAAAGTTTTTGAAAAAATGCCTGAAAGAAACGTGTTTAGTTGGACTTCAATGATGGGAATGTATAATGTGTTGGGTTGTTATGAAGAAATTGTAAATTTGTTTTATTTGATGATTAGTGAAGGAGTTAGACCTGATCACTTTGTTTTTCCGAAAGTGTTTAAGGCGTGCTCGGAGCTGAAGGATTTTCGAGTAGGGAAGGATGTTTATGATTATATGATAAGTATTGAATTTGAAGGGAATGCTTGTGTTAAGAGAGCTTTACTTGATATGTTTATAAAATGTGGAAGAATGGAAATAGCAACAGAGTTGTTTGAAGAAATTGAGTATAAGGATGTCGTGATGTGGAACATGATGGTTTCGGGTTATGCGTCAAGAGGAGATTTTGACAAGGCCTTAACATGTGTCAAGGACATGAAGCTTGATGGCGTCTTGCCTGATCAAGTAACATGGAATTCGATTATCACGGGATATGCTCAAAGTGGAAGACTGAAGGAGGCTTCTAAGTGGTTTAGTCAAATGAATGATTCCAAAGATTTTAAACCAAATTTAGTGTCTTGGACTGCCTTGATAGCTGGACATGAGCAGAATGGTTATTCATCTCAAGCGTTGCATTTGTTTAAGCAAATGCTGAATCAAGGAGTGAAACCAAACTCTAGAACCATAGCTAGTGTAATTTCAGCTTGTACCAACTTGTCTATGCTTCAGCATGGCAAGGAGATCCATGGCTATTGTATAAAGAAGGACGGTTTGCGTTCAGATTTAATGGTGGGTAACTCATTGGTTGACTTCTATGCTAAGTGCCAGTGTCTAGATGCAGCACGTCTAGAATTTGATAAAATTAAACAAAAGGATTTGGTATCTTGGAATACAATGCTAGCTGGTTATGCAGTTAAAGGTTCTTATGAGGATGCCATTAAACTTCTCAATGAGATGGAGATACAGGGTGTTGAACCGGACACTGTTACATGGAATGGGCTGATTACAGGCTTTACCCAGAATGGACAAGGGGAGACAGCTCTTGAGTTTTTCTATAGAATGAACCAAGCAGATATGGACCTGAACATAACTTCTATATCTGGTGCTCTTGCTGCTTGTACCCAAGTAAAGGATTTGAAGTTAGGAAAGGAGATTCATGGCTATGTTATAAGGCACTGTATTCAACTGTCAACAGGTGTAGGAAGTGCTCTTATTTCAATGTATGCAGCTTGTAGTTGTTTAAAGAATTCCTTCTCTATTTTCAGCCAGCTCTCCACAAGAGACATTGTCATTTGGAATTCGATTCTTGCTGCCTTTGTACAAAGTGGACAAGTTATTGATGCTTTAAACTTACTTCGACATATGATATTCAGTAATGTGAAACCCGATACTGTAACAATAGTCTCAGTCCTTCCTGCATGTTCAAAATTAGCTGCTCTGCGCCAGGGTAAAGAAATTCATCAGTTCATCATCAGGCATGGGCTCAGTGTTGGTAGTTTTGTTTGGAATGCTCTTATTGACATGTATGGACGATGTGGAGCAATCCAAAAAAGTCGAAAAGTTTTTGATTTAGTGCCCCGTAAAGATCTAGTCTCATGGAATGTCATGATTTCGGTTTATGGTATGCATGGTTTTGGGATGGATGCTGTAAACCTTTTTCGACGTTTGAGAGCAATGGGACTGAAGCCAAACCATGTGACATTTACAAATCTCTTATCTGCTTGTAGTCATTCAGGATTATTAGATGAAGGGTGGAAGTATTTTGAAATGATGAAAAAAGAGTACAACATGGAACCAGCCATGGAGCAATATTGTTGTATGGTGGATCTAATGGCACGCGCTGGTCAGCTTGATGAAACGCTAGATTTCATAAAGAAGATGCCATTTCAGCCCAATTCAGCTGTTTGGGGATCTTTATTGGGCGCTTGTAGAATACATTGTAACCCAGACCTTGCTGAATATGCTGCAGGGTATCTTCTTGAACTTGAGCCTCAAATTTCGGGGAATTATATACTGTTAGCCAATGTTTACGCTGCAGCAGGAAGATGGGAAGACGCGGCTAAAGTACGATGTTTAATGAAAGAAAGAGGAGTAACAAAATCTCCAGGTTGCAGCTGGATTGAGGTGAAGGCCATAGTTCATAGCTTCATTGTTGGTGATACTTCACACCGGTTGATGGATGAAATATTGAACAAATTAGAAAGCTTGTATTTCGAGATAAAGAAAATTGGATATGTTCCAGATACAAATTATGTGCTGCAGAATGTTGAAGAAGCCGAAAAGGAGTTCAGCCTGTGTGGACATAGTGAAAAGTTGGCCTTAGCATTTGGTTTGATAAGTACAGAGGCAGGAAGCCCTTTAAGAATAATCAAGAACTTGAGAATGTGTGGAGATTGCCACTCTGCAACCAAGTATATATCCAAGGTTGAAAAGAGAGAGATCATAATGAGGGACAACTATAGGTTTCATCACTTTGTTAATGGTGCATGCTCATGTGGAGATTACTGGTAAATAATTTGATTAGATTAGCTGTAATCAGAAAATGTACATTGGCTCTCTGCAATTTGATAGACTTGTAACATTCCACGATAACTTGTAAAGAGTACTGCGGGAATACAGGTACTTCCGAAGCATTGTAGTCAAATTTATAGTAGATATATAAACTTTACACTTTGCCCTTCAAATACAATTTACTGGTTCTGCCATTGAATACCAACGGTAAACTGGATTTAACCCAACTGTGTTTTGGGTTTCTGGTGGCTAATATGAACAAACATAATTAGTGAATAAACCCATTTTTATATTAGATTAATACTGCATAAACCTCAATCTTTGTTCATTTTTATTTGTTTAAACATTAAGTTTATAGAATCATCATAAATTATACATAACAGTAACATTTGCCATTGTGAAAAAAGAAATCAGTGTGAACTCTGATCTGCTCTCTGAAAGTGATCTTTCCATATGACTTTAAAGTACACAAACATCATTGAATTTTATAATGCTCTGCAGATCATCATCAGCTTGGCCAGACCAATATAATTGTCTTCTCTAAAACATATTTTGTCTTTCCACCGTCTCATCCCAAAGGGTATCTTTTCCCACCTTTATCTTTTTCAAATTACATTAAAAAAGCTTCATAAAAATAACCCTATTGCTTCCTCCAATAACTCTTGGTATTCTCAAGCATCTTCCGACCCACTTTCAGAAGGGTAAAAAAAATTTAAAGATACCAGAAATTTTGTGGACCAAAACACTGACAAGGAACAATGGCTTCATGATTAGAATTTCAATAAATATTATATGAACTTTTTCTTTAGTCATACTGTTTTTAATAGAGACAAATGCATGAGATGCAATGATGCTAAAATCCAAGATTGCAAATCCTTTTCTTTTAAGAGATCTATACAATTACATTACCCTTTGCATGTGAAATTTCATCATTTCTCCAAGATTAGGTATTATTACTTTTCCTCTATTTATAGTATGTATTATAGCCACAACCATATTGGCAAATGCTGCTTAGAACTCAGAGGTTTGAATTTGAAACAGTTGAATAATAAACGAGGAAGATTCCAGAGAGAACTACATTTCCCACCCAAGGTTTGGTGAAACGACACTTTCCCACCCTTCAAGTTTCAAAATGACACTTTCTCACCCTTCGTTAGGTTTTATTATGTTTTCCATTAATATTTTACTGAAATGACGAAGATACCCTTAAATATTTGACTTTATAAATTTTTTATTATTTTTTAATTAGTCAAAAATCAACTATTAAAAAGTCAAAAAAAAAAAACAAAAAAAATAGTTAACCCCACCTAAAAAGTTAGGAGTAATGCTATTGAATTATTTAAAATTAAATGACCTTAATATTTATTTATTTATTTATAACGTCATCAATATCCCATCACTATTATTCAATAATCTACTAAATTTATAATGTTTTTCATAATATAAGGATTTTCATTTTTTACTAATTAATATAGAAAATCAATATTCCTAATCAATTAAATAAACAAAGGAAAAAATATATCTTTACACTTGAACTAATAAATAATCGAGTAAAGAATTTGACTTAATTAAATTTTAATTTATAATACACTAATTAAGAAATAAACTGTTTAAAGGTATTTTCGTTATTTCAATCAAATATTAATAGAAAACACTAACAGAACCTGATGAAAAGTGGGAAAATGTCATTTTGAAACTTAACGGGTGAGAAAGTGTCGCTTTGCCAAACCTTGGGTGGTAAAATGCCGTTCTCCCAAGATTCAATTCCAAAGATGACCCACCTCTGATTAGTAAAATATTATGCATTATTTCAAAACATGATCTATCTTTAATCGATCTCCATGTGACCCACTACTTGCTCTTTATTTTTCAACAGAAAGAGAAAGAAAGAGAGGGGAGATTCGTCTCATATTAGCACAAATCTAAATGCGTTACATGTGAATATGAGCAACAAACATTCAGCTAGTACAATATTCTAAGCTTAGAAAAACAAAAGTATATTTCTTGTTCTTCTCGTACCATGCAAAGCCTAATGTCATCTAACCGGTTACTCGCATCATCAAAGTTTTAGAAGAAATATTCGATTACATATATACATTTTTTTTTTTTTTTAAATTCAAATATTTCGATTTCAAAATTGAAGACTTCATCAAATTTTACAATCTTTAGAAACATATAATTTTTTGAGAAGGAAAAACTATGACTTTTAACCATGTAAATACAAACGCCTCATAGATCAATCATTAAAACACATGTATGTATGTATTTAGACCATCTGTTTGATGGATCAGTTATCAGAAAACTTGTTCTCAACAGTAATCTCTATAAATTAAGTCAGTTAATGCAAATGATAATCAGTATAGAGATAATTTAGCCGTGAATTATGTTAGTTGTAGTAGGAAGTAGAGAGGAACATTCCTGGCCTTCTGTTTCTTAATTTATTGATTTGTGAATTCCAAGGCACACCCGTGATATGTATAGAAACTGGTCCTCTGTTAATTAGTGAATAATCATATTCTAATTCTCTTTTCTCTTCATTTTTAAAATCTGCAGCTTCACTACGGGAGATAAATGTCAGAATCATGCACGCCCTTTCATATCCCCTTATATAAAAACAGAAAGCATATGTTTTATATGCTTCTCTCTTTTTGTTTCAAGGACCAGGCCTTTTGTTTATATGCTCTGATAATATATTATTCATATAGAGAAATCCCAGATGAATATCTTAAAGGGCTGTTAGCATCTGGAAATTTTGTCTTTTCTGTGAACAGGAGAAGCATCAGCTGCTTCTCATTTAAGTACACTGAAATAAAACTGCCAAAACCCTTTAGCATAAAAGGACAGAAATTGTGATGAGCACAAGAATACCAAAAGATTGGAGTGCCCTGATCAAGGAAATAAAAATTAATCCTATTAATATTAAAAATAATTAATTGTGCACATTAATTAATTAATTTTGCTAACATGGTCATATGCTTCTTAAAGTTAGAAACAACAGTATTAGCTAGCTCCAGGAAAAAGAAGAGCTTTTATTTAATTTACTGACGTTGTCATATGTTTCTGTTTCGTAAAGTTGGAAAATTATAATGTGATAGTGAATCGAGAAGAGAAAGAAAGAAAGAGAGAGTTAAATATAGTTCAATTCAGAAGAGGCATATATCAGTTTAGGAAATGGTGATTATGGGGTGTGAAGAAATGGTGTTTTCAGTGGAGCCTCAGAAGGCAGTTCCAGCTCCATTTCTTACAAAAACATACCAACTTGTTGATGATCCTGTCACTGACCACATTGTCTCTTGGGGTGAAGATGAAACCACTTTTGTTGTGTGGAGACCTCCTGAGTTTGCCAGGGATCTTCTTCCCAACTACTTCAAACACAACAATTTCTCAAGCTTTGTTCGCCAGCTTAATACCTATGTAAGGATTATCCATCTCTCTTCTCCACATCTTTCTTTTAAATACATGTAACTTTCTAATTCTGAAAGTTCATTTTGCTTCTAAATTCACTACAAGAACTTTGTTGTTTCCCGACGAGATGTTCCGATGCCATGTAGCGTCAGAACAGGCCTTATTGGCCTACAATGCCAACACAAGCGCGATGCTTGTTTCTGGCGTACGAATAGATGGATTGCGATGTTTTTCTTTTTTATATTCCGATGCATTACATGTCTCGGAAAAGCTCATCTTTCCTGTAATGATTTTATATTATAAACTTATGGCTAGCTCCATTATTCTTTTGCTACAGTATATTTTTTCCTGTTATTAATGGTATAACAATATATATTTTCAGGGATTCAAGAAGATAGTGGCAGATAGATGGGAGTTTGCAAATGAATATTTCAGAAAAGGAGCGAAGCATTTACTATTAGAGATCCACAGAAGAAAAAATGCCCAGAATCATCCTCATCATCATCATCATCAACAAGAAGTAAACTTCCATGAACAACCGGTTCATTTTCTCCAAGCGGATCAGGAAAATTTCTGTTGGGTGGACTCTCCATTGCCATCACCAAATAATTATAATAAATCTCCAACCGATGTTCTAACGGCACTCACTGAAGATAATCAACGCTTGCGCCGAAGGAACTACATGCTTTTATCTGAACTCACTCACATGAAGAACCTCTACAATGACATTATCTTCTTCATTCAGAATCATGTAAAACCGGCTGTTCCGTGTGAGTATGATGAGCATGGATTGACGGTTCACAGTTACTCAGAGCCTAGGCTGAGAGAATTGATTAAGTCATCGTCAGCGGCTGTAACTGAGGAGCCCAACGGTACTGTGAAGCTCTTTGGGGTTGCTCTCAGTGGAAAGAAGAGATTGCACCCAGGAAAGGTAGATGAACAAGAACTTGAATAGTGAACCTTTTTGTGGTTCAGTTTTGTAAGATTTAGATATTAACGTTGAATTCTTATTACTACGTAGGTTAAGCAATTAAGAGAATAGTAATTTAAGATGGCGTCAAAGTTATTGATCTTTATCTTCGAACCTCTCACCTACCTCAAGCGAATTAAACAATCACTCCAATCTCGAATCTCTAACCGATCTCTCATGTTAAAGCTAGCCCCGTTACGGTTGTTTTGATAAGTTTATTTAAGTTAAGGTAGCTACTTAATAATCAGCACAAAATCTGGGATATGTCCATTGATTGATATGTGTTTAAAGAGCTAGAATTTAATGATACCATTATGATCTCACGATTAGTGAATAATCACAACTTTTGAGGAGGGTATCATTTTTTTGTTTTGTATCGTTAGGAGGATTTGATCTACTTTTATTGCCTTTTTTTCCTTTTCCCCCACAAAAAGTAGAGAAAGGGATCAAAATAAGGGATTATACAAGCAATAGAGACAGCAAAAAGGAGATTTTGAGAAAGACTGTTTCGGGATTGAAGTCATATAGTGCGCTTCTTTTTCATGCCTCGATTTTGATTCCCATCTTTTCGAGTAGCCTTCTTTCTTATAAATTCAATCATGGAGATGAGAGAGTCGACTTACTCTTTAGCGCAACAAAATGAAATAAAATTGGACATTAGATGTAGTTTGAGAGAGAAATAGAGAATGGTCTTTGAGTATATCATATCATACTCAAGGGATATCTTGATGCGTTATTTTGATGCCAACGATCTCGTACAGACAAAATGCTTAGAAAGTCTTAAAAATTATACGTGATTGATTATAGAGTTTTGATTAAAGATCATAGTTATATGCAAACACTTAAAATAGACGAGATAATGAGAATTTTGATAGTGATTTGGATGCTTAAAACAATTCCTACATCCATTGTTTTCTTTTATACGAGAGTTCTTGGTGATTAGCCAAGTTTACAAAGAGTCACAAACAACAAACATAATTGCAAGAGTCTCTTCTCGTAGGTTATCTTTGCTATTTATTTTTATAAATTCAGAGAGTTTGATTATGCATGCATTCGTTTATCCCAATTTTGTGAGGGGGGTCCTTTATTTATAGTCATTGAGTTCAAGGTAATGATTACAAATCTGCAAGTGAGTAGGTGTTATGCAAGTCCTTCTTTGCTTCCCATTAGCTGATAACTTAGGAAATATCCTTAAATTATATGAGGTTTGGACAGATGTACGAACCACATTTATTTATAAACAAAATTTAAATATATTGGGTTAGTGACAATTATATTCTCTTTGTCTTAGGGCGATGTGACAGATTCTGAGCGATTTAAAACTTTCTTGAACTCTGATTAATGCTCATTGATATAAGTTTACGTCAATTATGATGTTTTAAGCCTAACATATAATGCGTGGTTGATCCTGTGCTCAATATTTATTTCCCATTACGATCAATCTTCACTAGTACAAGTTCATGCAACTGTTACTATTCATCCTTAGAATGAGTGCAAGCAGCATGTTGAGCTAAATGCAATTGTTTGCACCAATAGCGAATAATTAGAATAGGAATAGAAAACAAAATAAGAATAGGAATTGAAATTGGAATTGGAATGAGAATAGTAATTACTAATTAGAACAAAAACAATAATAGAAATACAAATTTAAACTGAAATTAAATTTAAGAAATCAAAATTAAAATTAAGATTTCAATAATGAATTTGAAATCCGCTTTTTAAGCCCAATGTTCAAAGATACTAAAATATAAAATTATAGGCGCACAACCGTTTTTCAGCCCAATTCACAAAATTATATTAAGATCTCGCTTTCTTGGTCCAATTTACTTCGTTTTTAGAAGGGAAGTGATTTTAGACCCCCATCAAGTTTATCAACATTTCTTACTTTTAATTTTTTTCGTTTTTAACAAGTTTAGTCTTAATAAAAATTATTATAATTAACATTATAAATTCTAATTAAATACAAGAATAAGAATAAGAATAAGAATTATAATAATAACAAGAATACGAATAAGAATCGAAATAGAAATAGTAAAAATAATAGGAATAAGAATGGTAACCAGTACACGAGGAATAAGAATAGTGATAACACGATTCCACGGTGACAACATTAATCTCCCAAAATTAAAACAAAAGCGTTTTCGTGCCAAGCCTGGGAGGTGATACTATGATAAACCCATTTTTTAATGTGCACATAATTTATTTATAATGTAGGAAATTAATTTTATTTTTATTGCAGTTTGTATAATAAATATTATATTGAAAATCTAACGAAATATAAAGAGTCAATGACATTAGTCCTATCAGGAATGATATAATATTTTAAAATCTTTTTGAGGTTTTTGTTATGACTGAAAAATATAGGGCTGATGTAAGACCCAGTCAGCGTGCAAAAGTCAGAACATAGGTACACCCGCAGCCTGCTTCTGTCAGAATAGTGGGTGCACGCCAGACCAGCCAGAAGCTGTGGTGATCCCACATATCCAATCCCTGCGCCAAATTACGCAAATCACTCTAGAAGGTGAGCAATGTGACATAAAGAAGGATTTACACGGATAATCCCACCAACTCACAGATCCAGTAATCATTAGCTCAATGCATCCCACTATAAATTGAGAGTTCCTCTCTCATTCAAGGTATTCACTCATTTTTACTCTTGATTAGCTACTCTCTCTCTATAATTTATAGCATTTACTCGCTTGTACCATCATCTGTAAGTCAGTCAGCTAATGCGACCTGACCCCTATCATTAATAAAATAACAGTGGACGTAAGGCTTGCTTCCTTAGCATCCGAACCACTTTAAAAGTTGCTCCCATTTGTATTTACTCACATTTTTCTTGCATTCACATGTGTTTTCTGAGCCACCTCAACATTTTACACGTGCGTTTCGTTGGTGTAAAAATCACGCATCAACAGTTTGGCGCTAGAAGGAGGGCCCTGATTTAGTGTTCATCCTTCATCAGGAGAATCTCTACCTTACTGGTCCTACAACAGCAAATGGCCCGCCAACCTAAACCTGAGCAAACCAACCAGGGTGCTGAAGGGATCCCCCAAGTCTAGGGGGACACCTCTTCCAAAATACCTCCTGTCCCGCAAAATGCTGTAGGGGATATCTCTTCAAGTTCACAACTGGACCCTGTCATTAGAAGCTACCTAGAGAGGTTCGACAATACTCCCCAGACGGTCAACCGAAGGTTAGACCGTTTGGACCAAGGCGTGCCATCCAAATCAACTGGGGCGGTACAACCGGAAAAAACGACAGTAGGTCGCGCGAAAGCGAGGCAAAGGGAAATAGCCCGTGTCGCGAGCACTGTAGTGCGTAGACGAAAGGGTAAGCAAGTGGCAAAAAACAGGCCTACGGACTCCAAAGGGCCAGTAAACACCGACCTCGTCCCAAGCAGAATACCGGTCTCGTTAAGACTCGGTGAAAGGACGTAGCCCGAGCTGTCCCATGCCACGTCGCAAGTACACCCCCATAAAAGTGCTGGGCGAGGCGATTCTTATCACCGCCAGCAAAACGATCCAGATCGTCATCGTGTGAGAGGTTCCCACACTTCGCGGGGCGGTTCTTACCACCGCGAAGGTCGTGAAAATACCCCACACCGTTCATCGCCATCACACGCCTCTAGCCAACGCGTGTCGAGAGTGGCCGGAACCGCCGACCGAGACGAAGAGGAACCCGACCTTTGGACTTTCCTCAACCGCAATCGCGAGGGTCGAACTCGCATGGGTGAAAGCAATCCCCAAGTGGCTCCATTGCCACAAATTGAGGAGCTCCAGCGAGCTCTAGACCGACTAAGAGCTTAACAAAATGAGCCAGGGCAAGTCACGTCTGCGTCCCCTTTCTCTCCCGAAGTGCTAGCCGTTCCACTCGCACCAGGATTCAGGATGCCCGACATACGGGGGTTCGATGGAAATTCTGATCCGCAGGATCATTTATATGAATTCAACGACCTGATGGAGCTTCACCAGGTCTCGGATCTAGCAAAATGCCATTGTTTGGCAGTGACTTTAACCTCCCATACGAAACGGTGGTTCAGGTCGCTCCCAACGGGATCGATCAGTTCGTGGCCTCAGATGAGCGCGACGTTCCTAAGCCATTTTCAAGCAAACCGAAAGTTCTTGATGCCTTTGAGCTACCTCAGCAATATAAGGCAAGAAATGGATGAATCCCTCCAGTCCTACATCGACCGTTTCCACAGAGAACTCAACAAAGTGGCTCATACTCCTGAAGAATCTGTTCGAACTCTCATCATAGCAGGAGTTCGTCCACAAACCGACCCGTGGAAAGAACTATAGGTTGAGGACGATGTTTCCCTCACATAATTTTATAACCTTGTGGAGAAGTACCTCCGGATAGAAAATTCATTGGCGGCGCTCTGCCGTCGGGACCCCGGCGCTTCAGGCAGTATGTTTGGTCAGGGGAAAAGTAAAAGAGCTGATCGTGGAAGGGCCGTTGACGATTAGTGAAAAGGAAAGAAACCTCGCTACAAGCCCAAAAAGTCTTATGCTCCTGTCCCTCGCCGCGATCGCGACAGAGACCAATATACACCTCTGAATGCATCTGTATCGGCTATTCTTGATAAATCCGAAGAAGCCAGCCAGCCTGCTCGGAGAGCCCGAGCCCATGAAAACTCCCGCGACAGCCAGAAATAATAAAAAATATTGTTGCTTCTATCGGGATAACGGGCATCACACCGATGAGTGCCGAGCTCTCAAGTAGGCAATCGAAGAGCTCATCAAGAAGGGGCATTTCAAGGAGTATATTGACGACTTCGCTCCTGCACAAGAGAAAAGTCAAGGGGAGCAAGGAAAGAAGAGTCATGATCGCACAGGATATTGTAGTGTCAACCTGATCTTTGGGGGGCCACACCTCGCGGGCAACACGCAAGGTACCCAGGAAAGATATGCTCGCGTGGCTCATCACGACCCAATCAGCGTGATGAACATGTCGCAGCGACCACAAAAGGTTCACAAAGAGGAGCCAATTACCTTCTTCGAGAAGGATGCAACTCATCTGTATCATCCCTATGATGACGCACTTGTGATCACGCCCCTCATAGGGCACCATAACGTCTGCAGGATGCTAGTAGACAACGGAAGTGCTGTGAACATCCTGTTCCAGAGTGCTTTCGA